ATGAATTGTATTTAACAATGTTTGCCAAGAAATGTTTCAACCGGCCTGTGTCACCTGCTACCAGTGATGATAATGGTTCGGGTGGTGAATGTAATACTGGCATTTTAACTTGTCACATTTCCAATGTTTCATTCTTAAATTTGAAGGCACTGCAATGTACGCACAATTAATCCATTTTGCCAATAAGCACTTGTGGATGAAGACTGTAATAATAATTGATGTTGTAATGGAAGGCAGCAAGATTTAAATCAACATGCAGTGTTCGCCTGGATATAGTAGTGCGCAGTCGAACGGTTTCCAGTCTTGCTTTCCGTTGATCGATTGTTTCTGATAAACGGACTTGAGCAGTGAGTACTCTACTGGTTTCCAGTCTTGCTACTCGTTGCTCGTCTGACTTAGATGATCTGGCTTCAGCAGTGAGCACTCGAACGTTTTCTAGTCTTGCTTTCCGTTGCTGGTCTGATGTAGAAGAACGGGCTTCGGCAGTGCGCAGTGGAATGGTTTTCAGTCTTACCTCATGTTGCTCGTCTGTTTCTTCAGAAATATTGCCCTTCTCTTGCGTGTTCTAGGTGTAGATAGGCCAATCGTTTGGGAGGCATTACTGCAAATGTTTGACACAATAGTGTACAGCGTGTGACTTTAGTGAGCGTTGATCGTCAATAGCTTATTCGTCCTCATGCACTGAATGAAATGTGACTTGAAGTATCGCTGAAATACATGAAAATATGAACATGAGATAACAATCTATTTTGACTCAAGCGGAAATGCATAGAAACTGCGCAGCAAATATTCGGAAAAGTCGGTAAACGATATGAATGGCTTTCCAGTGTAGCAGTAAGATTTGTGGTATATATAGCTTGCGACTGTGTAAATGTATAATTCTTTTGAATAATAGGAGAAAGCCAATTGAAATTGTGTAGACATGTAAACTGTAGCAGCTCTGTATAATAAGAATAATAACAGTAACAATAAAAATCATGATGCACGCTAGACAATATGAGAAAACCAGCAGATAATGTGTATTCATTTATCATTGTGGGATTTAGGGAGTGTTCCACACATGTTTTTGAAGTTAAGAAATAATGTACATAATGACTAATAACCTGAAATAAATGCGCTCACCTTTTGAGATATTTATAGATTCCGCAGGCAATTGTTTGCCCTGAAACATCTTCAATGTTGACGATAGAGCGTCCCTGCTGCGCATACATGGTGAAAGTCGTTCGTTCTGACTACCGCGCATGCGCATTTACAAACGTGGCTTTCATTGAATGTCACTAAAATTAAAATATTAGTTTCGAAAAGTTTTCCAACAAATATCGTCATCTATCTCTAACAATGACAAGTAGAATTTCAAACCATGACGGGTAAACATCCGGTATCAAAACAAACATATGCTGAAAATTTCAGCTAAATCGGTTCAGTAGTTTCCGAAATCACCATAATGTCTGTCTTCCTATTTTTCAAACTTAGGCCTATTTTATCATTTTCTACCTGTGCCGTATCTATCAATACCTGTAATTATTTCTGACATCTCGCTTCAAGATGATGTCATCAGTATGACGTAGGTTCCTAACTTTATGACCTCCAAACACAATTCCTGACATATTTATGATAGATCTCTTTTGTAAATTCACTGTATAAGGAAAACACATCCAGTGATAGTGAACATCCTTGTCGTGCTCCCATCTTAATGCTCTGAAATGTTCCAAAATGGCTTCTTAAGTCTTACAGCTGCTGTTTGCTGCCAATACAAGTTCTTTATTATTAGTTTTTCTTTAGCATCAATTGTTAAATGTTCCAGTAGTTGGATTATCTCTTCATGTTTCACGCAATCAAATGCTTTCGTACAATCAATGAAGCATGAGTAAAAATCGTTTCTTTTTTTTAAACTTCTATAGTTTTTCCGAAAGTGTTATGAGATTGTAAATGACATTGTTTTTGCTTTTTCCTTCTATAAATCCGAACATTTCTTCACTAATTTCTGCTTTAATGTCGTTTCTTATTCTTCTAATAATTATTCCCTGTTATATTTCTGTCCCATAATAAGAATCACTGCACACACACACACATAGATACCCGCATCACACACACACATATCCACAGCACACACACACGCCTACATACCCGCAGGACACCCCCCCCCCCCCCCACCCACCACAAACACGCACAGATATATGGTGCAATAGTCTTCATATTTTGGAGTGCCTGGTTTCTTTTGCAGACCAGTAAATATAGATTTTAATAGTTTATTAAGAAGGTACCCAGTGTTATAAATGTTATTTTAAGATTTTTTATATTTTTATTTTTTCAATTTCAAAATATCCTAAAGTTTCAATTTCTTCTAAGGTGATGTCTGGCTCAGGTGTATTTTCTTTTTTTTCAATGTAATGAAACACCTCCAGACAAGACTACATTTCCCCAAAGACCAACTGGCACGTGATGGACGAAGTGATCGATATCATGCTGGGCAGAGTGAGAACACAGACAGACAGACAGACAGACAGACAGACAGACAGACAGACAGACAGACAGACAGACAGACAGACAGACAGACAGACAGACAGACAGACAGACAGACAGACAGACAGACAGACAGACAGACAGACAGACAGACAGACAGACAGACAGACAGACAGACAGACAGACAGACAGACAGAGAACAGTAACAACTATGACTGCAGAGAGTGTAAATAAAATTGGCAAATGTTTTGCGCAGAAAGAAAAAGGAAAATATAGAATGTGAATATGCAAATCGTTTTAGAGAAGGTAGCTTCGACTTGCGGTTTCTTTAATTTTCTTTTTCCTTAGTGAAAGTGTGTTTTGTGGCTTTGTGTCCAGTGGGGGCGGGGGCCGGGCGGGGGCCGGGCGGGGGGGGGGGGGGGGGGCACGAGACTCTTGGTTGCTTACACACACCATTTTCGCAACAGCAGAAATAAAATAAAAAAATTTTTAAAAATACCCTTAGCAAACGGATTTCAACATAAAACACAACAAAATACTTGCTAAAATTAAACCCAAGGAGTCTCTCTCTTTAACTCTCTCTCTCTCTCTCTCTCTCTCTCTCTCTCTCTCTCTCTCTCTCTCTCACACTTTCTCTACCACACACGCATACTTTCCCACTTCGTTTTCTAGCTGACATTATCTCAACACGCACGCACACACTATCACATTGATTAGCTTTGTGAAGCACTTTGAATGTCTTGTTACTAGGTATTCTGTTTCACTCGGCAGACACCTCAAATGTGCGTTAATGACGTCATGTATCAGCCAAATTGGCCGTCTAGAAGAGGATGAGAGAGAGAGAGAGAGAGAGAGAGAGAGAGAGAGAGAGGGTGATAGAGAGATAAAAAAGCTGTGAAAGGTTTGCATTTAGAGTGTAAACCATCTTTAGCTCGATGATGCAATAAGTCTGCCTCCTAAGTGCTTGCGTCTCTTTAGGGACTACTTGAGCGGATGCAGGGTAATTGTGTCTTAATTTATTCTTACGCAATAGGAATACGTAAGCTCAGTATGACATTACCACAAGCTACGCATCGAACAAAGAACAGGAAACTATATCTAACTTCTATCTGCGACCCTTTGCGGCATAAGTGGTAAGACTAAACAGTAAGGAAGAAGTAAACTTTTTTATCTGTTTTATAAAAGGCTGCCTCTTTTAACTTCCGAACACCTTTCGAAATGCTGAGGTGCCGGGTTCGATCACAGTTGCGGACGATTTGTCTTGCGTTGGCTTCGACAGTTGTACCGAGAGCTGACAGTTTAAACGCACTGGGAAACTACTCAACATAACATTTGCTTAGAAAAGCCACAATAGACAGGAAATGCTGGGGTTGGTTCTGCAACGTACTGTAAATTATACGCAACTAACTAAATTTATCTCAGAAACCACAAATCAGCGCTTTAAAACCTATTTTTCACCTTAGTGCCCATACTTTCCATGCATACAAAAACACTTTCAGCGACGGGTGTGAAGTGGCTAGGTGCTCGCCTCCTTGCCTGAAGATCTTAGGTAAAAATCAGTTTCGAGTCAGATTTTATTTTCATAAACATAGGTTGGTACCAAGTAATATCCACAATTATTCAGAAGCAGGGGAACGTGGTTGTGTAGACAAATTATGAGAATAACCAGGACAGGTTTAAAAAAAGTTGGTAAGGTGTATTGAAGGAAAATTAATTATGAAGATAACTGATTGCCCACATCAAAAAGATAATCTACATTCTTTCAGGAAAAGGAGAAATCTAGAATACATCGCGACGGTGTGAAAGTGGGAGGAGTAGGCCGGGATAAGTGATGTTGGGCAGTTTTACATAATGGCATGAAAAATCGTGTGCATCAGAACTAATTGAAAGTACACGAGATAGATGGTTGTGGATTACATGACTACCAGCGCCACACGGTATTAACTATAAGAAGAAGGGTAAATTTTACGCTTGTCTCCCCATTTACATAGCGCTACACACCAGCTCGTTTATGATTAGATGACCTATTGACCAACTATCTTCTGATAGGTCGGCCTCGAGCTATCCGACTTCCACACAAGGACACGGGGATATTTCACACTTGCGCTTATACCGCGTATTGTATATTTCACAATGCAAGCGCTTTAAACTCTTCTAAAACATTTAAATACTGGGTCCAACACACAAAGAGAGTGAAAAAACCTATAACACATGCCGTTTCTTTCTCAGAAATAAAAAAGTAAATACCAGACAACAACAGACTGCGACACCCATAATCTCGGCCACGGTAGACTAGTCCAACCAACTTATCACTGAATTTGACATACAACTGGTGGTGTGCAAATGGGGAGACCATCGTATAAATAACCAGAAGAACAAATTCCTGGGAAATAAAGGCAGACAGATCATCAGCAAAGTGATGAGTCTAGCATCATGTGCCAGATACGCCACTGGCCTTATTTTCACTTGTAATATTCCACAACAGTGCTGTCTCGTATACAAGATGAAATGTGAGGTCTGTCATTTTCTGTTTTCAGGTTTTGGGATCCAAGAGCGAGTTTCATTTTATTCATGGCGGTATACCTCACGCAAGATCAAAAAGAAGTCTCACTCACACTCGTCAGTTACGTGCTCACCCACAGGTACGTACCTATTGGTGGTTTGTCTGTGATGGAATTTCAACCATCGACGAGCAGGGGTAGAATTACATGTGCTTGTTAGTCTGTGAAACGATGCATCTCTCTGAGCTCCTGCAATAAATGGCGAGAGAGAGAGAGAGAGTGAGTGAGAGAGAGAGATAGATAGATAGATAGATAGATAGATAGATAGATAGATAGATAGATAGATAGATAGATAGATAGATAGATAGATAGATAGATAGATAGATAGATAGATAGATAGATAGATAGATAGATAGATAGATAGATAGATAGATAGATAGATAGATAGATAGATAGATAGATAGATAGATAGATAGATAGATAGATAGATAGATAGATAGATAGATAGATAGATAGATAGATAGATAGATAGATAGATAGATAGATAGATAGATAGATAGATAGATAGATAGATAGATAGATAGATAGATAGATAGATAGATAGATAGATAGATAGATAGATAGATAGATAGATAGATAGATAGATAGATAGATAGATAGATAGATAGATAGATAGATAGATAGATAGATAGATAGAGAGAGAGAGAGAGAGAGAGAGAGAGAGAGAGAGAGAGAGAGAGAAGGGGAGGAGGGAGGGATACAAAAGGACAGAAACAGGGTAACATGTGAAAGCTTCCTCTCATTGTCTCTTTCTTTTTCTTCTAATTTCTGTCTTTTTCTTTCTCATCCGGTGGATGTAAATGTGTGTGTGTGTGTGTGTGTGTGTGTGTGTGTGTGTGTGTGTGTGTGTGTGTGTGAAAAGTAACAAAATAAAGAATCCTTACGCAAGTGGTACCTTGCGTCATTTAATTGTCTCGGCAATATTTTCATAGACCACATGGCACGCATCGGGTGATGCAATCATCATCACGCCGGTCGCTTTTACTTCATAAAACATCAACTGTACATGGTTATACTACGTCGGCTTGGAAGCCAAATTACCTTCTTTCTTCAAATAGGCCCTAGTGGATTCGACTTCGAGGTCGTCGTTCTAGCCAGTAATTTACTACAGCTGTGTGTATGTGAGTGAAATACATAGACCTCAAACTATTATATCTCATGAATGCAAGTAATACAATTAAGTACAGGGAATTCTTCTAAACACGCCTTGGTACTTACGGAGCAGTGTATAGTAGCCATATATATGGGAGGGGTCTATAATATTTTGCACACAAAAAATGCTAATATATATATATATATATATATATAAATGTGTATGTATTGTAGTGATTTTTTTTTCCTAAAGCAATCATCAGCATGAAACAACAACAAATAAATGTAATACGTGATATGTTAAATAGGGCTTCTCACTTAGACCCTATAGAAGCATTCTCCGAATGCCATTGGCAAAGAAGAAAAGAAATGCTAACATCCTAAAAAATTCTAAGCATCAAGGAAAAATTGTTAGTAACCAGAATCTTGTCTCGAAAGTTGACCTTGATCATATCAAACGCCACAGCCGATTGGATTGGAAAACAACTGTAAAAGGCGTGGTGCCAGGGCCGACCACCACAAAAATGGGCACAGGATATAAGTGTCACTTTCGGTAATGAAAGGCACTAGACGGGAAAGCTGATCAGGGACTGAGTTTCCTTCAGGCTGGCCGCGATGAGAGCGACGTTCTGCAAAGCACCTGCTACATGTTAATAACAGTGATTAGGTCTGTACTACGAAAACGGACCGCTGTATAGATTATACAAATAGAGATGGTTAGGTATTTGACACATTCTCCGATGAAAAGGACTAATAATCATAAAAAGAATCTCAATCAGAAAAACAGATTTAAGAAGCGAAGCCATTCAAAAGAAACGGTAACGTTGGCGAAACATGATATAGGTACCGGACTGGACTCCACACACGATAGAGAAACGATTGCATAGGACGCAGCAAAATACAGGAATCGAATATGAGCTCTATGCTTTAAGCGGCGCAACAGGAATTGATAATGACGATGATGATTATGATGATTATGATTACAATACATATAGAAATAATTGTAAGGATATTTGATATTTTGTAATGATTGTTTTTTTTTTTTTTGGTGGTCCCATTCCTACCCCACAAAACCATTCAGTATCAGCAACACACATCCTTTCATTGATTGATACACGTCGCCTTTGTACACTGGAAATGCATTCAACTTTTCCTTTTTAAACTGTCGAGAAATCCCCAGTGTACACAGCCGAGCAATTTATTCAGAACTCCTGGGACAGAAATGGCGTTTGGACACTGAATGAATAGGGTACTTTAAAGTAACTGACAATAATAGCATTTCCAATTAATCTTCTCCGAGGATCAGGCTGACATTCTTCTAACAGCCCGAGCTGACATGTTGCCTCATTAAAGAGAATATATGATTTCAGTATCTGAAAGTCTCTACAAAATTTTCCTTTTTGGTAGTGCCATAGAAGTTGAATACATGACAGGTAAGAATTAATTTTCTGAGAATTTCGAAATTGAGAATGTGCAAGGACAGCGGGTGTCTCATCAATGTCAATTATCGAATAGAGAAATTGATATTTGGGTCACTGAATACGCCAGTAGACGATATTCAATAGCGAAAAATACAAAAAGCAATTTAAAAAAAACCCAATAAGGTGGATATTTGCTAAATTCATGTCTTTGATTCATAGGACTGTATCTACAATGTTATATGGGTCTTTAAATACTTAATTGAAACCATTTGTAGTCATTTGTATTTAATGTGTACAGTAACTACAACATGTTAGATAAGCAGCACATTACTAAATGTTTATCACTAACAATATGTCGCTGATTTATTGATCTATATCTGGCAGGAAAAAAAAAATGAGTTTTTAAAACGCATAGGCCTCTTCTTCAATGTCTGTTGCTAAAGGGTTGCTAAAGAGGATTGTAACTTTCGAGATACTAGATTCAATTTTCTCTGGAGGCTGTTTGGTAGCAGACCGTCATGCGTTGATTCTGACAATGGCATCGAGAGCCGATTGTTTAAAAAAAAAACAGTGACAAACCACTAAGCCCAAGACTTGCTTTCTGAAACCACAAACTGCCAATAAATGTACGGGCTGGTTTGCAGCCTCATCTAAAGGATACTCAGATAACTTGTATTCTTGTTCTTTTTGTTCTTGTTCTTGTTCTTTTTCTTGTTCTTCTTCTTCTGTTTTTTTTTTAAATGATTCATTTTACTCTTCCGTATGTTATGCCATTGAGGGTCCACCCACCTCAATTCATCTATGTAAAAGAACAAAATATTTATTATGCAAGCATTCGTGCCCAATCGTAAATCCTTTTAAGATATAGTTCTTTCGTATGTTCTGTATGAATGGTGCTCTGTTTTCAGTTTATCACTTAAAATGCTTCCATATATAACTTGTTGAGAAAAATAAAATCTATATATATACACACACACACACACACACACACACACACACACATATATATATATATATATATATATATATATATATATATATATATATATATATATATATATATATATATATATATATTTATATAAGTAAAGTAAAGATCCATTTTCACGCCTTTCGGCGCATCGGGCATATGGGCAGAGCCTCCAATATTTTTACAGACCATCAGCACTCTGTGGGTAATGTGGTCAGCATTACGCGGGCTGTCTTTACTTTCCCAGGACAGCCCATCCTGGTACCCATTTTAGACTGGGTCGACCTGCGACGTCCCATACCACGACAAAAATCCACGCAGCCTACAGTGGGTTTCGATCGCGGTATGCTGGCTCACGAGTCGGACTCGCAACGCCTTAGCCACGGACGCCGCATATATATATATGCGACGACTTCTTATCTCACAGTACCTTCTGCGAAACCACCAAGTCGTCTTGTCCCTATCCGAAAGAAAAACACCATCCGGTAATCTCGTGCAGCAGGGTACCAGCCCTGAGCTTCATGAACTCAGGTGGGCCCACCTCCGAAAGTGTCTAGGAATCGTGGGCCGAAACGCTTGTCGACGAGGATAATTTCTACTGGTGACTGGTGTACTTGCTCCCTGTGAGTTTATTCCTATTGTACGTGGCTAGCCCACAAGACTACCATGAAAGAATGGTGACTCTCGGGAAAGACCTTGTGACACCTATGGAAAGACTGGCCCCCCGGTATCGCCGGGGGATAAACTGACTTCTGGAGACAGATGGCGACTTTGGACCGGGTTGATCACCCCTAACACAGTATAATACCTCCGATCTCGTACAACCACATAGAAATATTCCCCCAGGGCAGCCCGTAAGTGGGGGAGAATGAAGGGCCCAATCCAATTGATACTCTCGGTGACGACTATGCTAGCCTCCGGACTCAGATACTCGCCCAACGTCCGGGCTGGCTCTGTTCATGTGGAAAGAGCTTCACGGGGTTGCATGGTCTGAGAACGCATGCCGGAAGAATGAAATGCGAGGGTGCTCCACGCAGTAAACGCCGTCGCAAAACTACTACTCCTGTGGTAGTTTCTGAGTCGTCAGGGAACGACGGGCAGGGTGAACCCCACTCGCCCGGAGAGGCCCATGACGTCGACTGCGGAGGAGCACGTTTGATGATTTCTGAGGAAGTGCGTTCCAAGATCAGGTTTCCACCTGCGAGCGATAAAGTGGTGTGGTGTAAGTTGGAGGCTACATTTTGTGAGGTACTTAAGCAAGATCTAAACAAGAAGTCGTTAGGCGACAAGCTTACGAAATTTGGTGATGTTATATATGAACACTGCTCCCGCGAGTTCGGGACAGTGCAGAAGGCACAGCCGGGTGCCAAGCAGAATACTAGCAGGAGACAGAGGGACATTCTGAAGTGTCGGGCAGACAAGAATGCCCTCAGAAAACGGTTCAAAGCCGCTACAGGCAGCGAACGGGAGGGTCTGTATGAAGTCTGGTTGCATTTAAAGAACAGACACAGTGCCCTCTGTCGCGCCGAGCGTTTCTGTTACAACAGACGTAGAACCAAAAAGGAGCGAGAGAAATTCTTTAGGGACCCGTATCAGTT